TCGCGCAGGCGCGCTGAGGATGCCGGGTCTGCGCAGGCGCATTGTGCCCGCTCGTCCCGGAACTACCAAGAAAATGGTGGCTGAGCCGGGCGGAGCCGGGCGCGCCATTTTGGTTGTAGTTTTTCTTGCCGCAGAGCCACGCTGCGAGGACGCTCAGACCGAAACTGCCCGAGGGTCATTAGAATGCCCAAGGCTTCTACCCCCCTTTCTTGAATCACGCCCTTAAGAACCCTTCAGGCCATGGCATCCTCTATTTACGCCAGCCCTGAGAGGGCCAACGATACACCCACGGTCACACATCGTTGGCATGTGGAACCAGCTCACACCCACGGCCATCTAGTCGATTCCGATTCATAGCGCGCCAATAGGATAAAGTGGAACTGCCCGTTCGGGTTTCCGGGACTGTAAACCTTTACGGAATCAGAAAGCCCCATCTTTCTCTCCCTGAGAGGTTGCTAGTTTAGAACCGCTGACCTTAACGGCTCCTTAGCATGTGCAAAGGGCTTAATAAATTGCCCCCTCCCCCACCCGCCTTCCCTCATGACCCTTGATAATTTATAAATTTTTCTTTCCATGTCTTACGCTGACCGATATCTCCCTTCACCCACTTTTCTGTTGTCCGTCCCCCTGGGACGCTACACCCATTATTGGCCCCCGGGGGGTTAGAGTTTACTGTACTGGAAATCTTTACAGGAACAGACAGCCTCATCTTTCGCCCTAGGAGCAGCTGGAGCATTTGAACCGCTGACTTTAAAGTTAGCAACCCAGTATGCCATCAGGGATCCCACTCAGCAAATTAGGTACCCATTTAACAATTAATAGGCAAATTGTTCAGATACTGGATACATAGTTCACAGTAGGTAAGCAGCCTCATTAATTCCACGTGGGTTGTTTCTTTTGGATTAGTCCGGTTTCTCTGTTCACTTACCTCTTCCAGCTTTGCTTTTGTTGACCATTTGGCCTCATAAAAAGGACTTTTTAAAAATGTGTGTGGTATTCACTGGTAATCTTTATTTTTAAATCATTTTATTGGGGGCTCATACAACTCTTACCACAATCCATACATACATCAATTGTGTAAAGCACATTTGTACATTCGTTGCCCTCATCATTTTCAAAAATTTGCTCTCCACTTAAGCCCTTGGCATCAGCTCCTCATTTTTTCCCCGTAATCTTTATTTCAGGAGCCAATCTTATAGGTTTAATCTCTAACAAACGTTTGAGTGCCAAATTGATTCCAATTTACACGACACTATCTGTATGCCATTGGTTAATTTGTATTTAAGCATAAGGCTATTATTTACACTGAGAACCCTAAATTCATTTTTGTCTCCACATAGATTCGATCTCCATTTAATTTTTCCTAACCATTAACACTATGATGTGAAAACACTTGTGATGTGGAAAGTGTTGCCCTTACAGCATGTTTGAAGGTATCGGCTCCCCTAACCAATCCAGGGCGGAGCAGCCTAAGTCTTAGGAATTGCCTGGGTGTGCCCTTGATGGAATTTGGGGTACCAGGGTCCACATAGTTATGAGTCATACCTGTGTTGGTCAGAAGTCCCTGAACCAATCTTTTAAGTTTTACCTTCTATAAGAATGTATGGAAAAAAAAAAGTATGTATCCCAATCATAATCCCTTTCCCATTTCTGTAGTACCTTCTACAACTGTGAAGGATTGGTCCTGATTTTGTGAGTCTCCTTAATTCTCCATATCCTTTTAAGTGGTCAAGCACAGGTGCAGTGAATTGTTTAATGTGGCTCTTCTAGTCAAAGTCTCTAACTCCCACCAAGAGACCTTTCCCTGCATGGGTCTGGTAAGAAGGTGGGGGAAGATTACTGATAGGATTCATCTGTTGTGGAAAACAGAAGGATTTCTCCCAAGTTGTCTCACCCAAATATATGCCAAACTTAGCTGCTTGCGAATGACTGTACTTGGAGGTCATCAGAAGTAGATCAGAGGTCATTCTCCCTAAGAGCCATCAGCCATCTAGACCAAGCAGACACCACTGTTTATCCCACAACAAGTAGGGCCCACTCCCTTCTGATAAGGATAGTTGTCTTGTTTCCTTGTAGGAGACACCAGAGCTCAAACCTGCCCAAGGATGATCTAGGTTAGGCCGCCATCATGAATCTAGGGTCCGCCCATCTTGTCACATGTATACCCCTAGTCCCTCCCATTCCTATGGGCACACCCCTAGCTCATCCCCTTCCTGTCACGCTTATGTCTTATCATACATCCCCTTCCAACGATGTGTATGCCTACTGTACTGCGCCTTCCTGTGATGTGTGGTTACCTGTAATCATGTCCCCCTAATGAGATATAACCCTTGGTTAGCAATAAAGTGGGGGCTCTCCTGCTCTCGCTCCCAAGGCTCTCTCTTACTCGCGTGGCCAGGCTCCCCCCACGAGGACCACCAAGTGGGGCTGAGGTGAGCATACTACCATGAATTGTGTCTGACTCCATTATTCCAATACCTCCTCTACGTCTCATGCTATGACTACTATAATCTTTACTTTTATCGCTGTACAATTGTGCCTACCAGACCTGTGATGATTTGTTGGGGACTCTCCTCGCCCCACAATCTGTGAGTAACTATGACCAGAAGTCTCTGGGATGCCATCCTGCTGTGTATAAAATGAGCCTTCTGGGGAAGTAGAGGGTGGGATCTCATTATTAGCAAGAGCCAGGGCAGAGCATGTCCTGTGGACCTGAGATACCGGTGCAATGAACTTTCTGGAGCCAGAAGACAGCAATAACATCAGAGAAGCAGCAGCAGAACCAGGAGCCAGAACATCAAAGAGAGTACCGGACTTGCCAGCACACGAAGTAAAGCTGAATGCTTTGGAAAAGGAGAGTGGTTTGTGGAGTGAGGTGCCTCTGGGCACTTAATTGGGGAAGCTGGACTTGCTGACCAATGGAAATGGGCTGCATGCCTTTGAGCTGAGGCTTACTGGAATGGGGTGCCTCAGAGCACTTAATTCGGGGAGCTGGGTTTGCTGACACACTGAATTTGAGCTGAATGCCTTCAGATTGAGACTTAAGAGTGGAGTGGTATCTCCTTTGGGGCATTTATTAGTATACCTGAAAGAAGTTTGTATCCTGAGCATTTGTCCCTTGCATTACAACCTACCAACTTCCTTAATAAATCCTTTAATCATAAATGTTGTCTGAGTTCTGTGTAGCCATTGCAATGGATGTTAGAACCGAGAGATCAAGTAGTGAATATCAATTATGTACACACATATGTACAACACATATGTACACAATTGATCTAAGTATTGTGATGAATTGTATGAGCCCCAATAAGTTGATTAAAAAAAAACAACACATATGGTTTCCTTGGGCACCTATGGCTTTCCGTTGGTTACCTTCATCTAGATTAATCTTTGCCTTGCTTAAGACTTAATGAGTATATCTCCATAAGCTATATTTAGGGTCTCCTTTCTTCCCTAGAGCAGGATATTAAACCTCCCTATACCTCAGTTCCTCGTAGGAGAAAAATAGGTTATATCTCATAAGGTGGTTGTAAGAAACAAATGATAGTATGCAAGTAAAACACTTAGGACTCAGTAAAGTCTGGTAATTTTTCTATGCTTTACCCTGCTTAGCTGAAGACACAAAAACAATCATACTTTTCATCCTTTTATTTGTAATGTGTAAGGTAGATTTGGCGATGGAAAGAAAGAAGCAAAGGTAGAAAAGTTTCAAAGGTTTATTTCAGAGCTCCCGTGCAAGGTTCACAGGTCCCTAACTGGGGCGAGAGAAGTCATGCTACCCAGGAGGGAGGGGAGTACAAAGGGACAGGAGCTCAGGATGCATCATGGGTCCCCAACTGGGGGCCTGTGAAGTCATGCTGTCTGGGTGAGAGGTGGAGAGTTTTATAGCCAGGGTCTGGGGGAGGGAGTAGCTGGGGACTTTGCTATC